CCCGGATAAGCGGAAGAAAATGGATGGATGGATGGACTTCCTTAGCAAACTGTGTGTCTCTTCATTGTGTCACATACACACACTTCTGTAGTTCCTCTTTCCAGGGATGTGTGTCGACTTCCTTTCTTCCACCATTCCATATTTTTCATTCTTTAGACGTAAAATCACTTTTCACCATTTTTTCCAATTCAACCATTTCACATTGTATTCTCACACATTCACTAACGATTATTTCAAACACACAGAAATCATCTTATGATTATCTTAACTTTTCTACTTTGTGCATTCTGCCATAGCATTTTTATAATTTTCCTCTTTCTCCCAGCTCCTCCTGCTGTTTCTTATAAACATTCTTGCTGTTGTGTGGATTCTAACTGAAAAGAGACAATTTGTTAAATTGTCTACTGCAGCCCTTCTTGTAAAGTTTCTGATGCCAGATCCTCAGAGGCAAGTTCTGCTGTTATGGTTTGTGTTTCTTGTGTTTTTTGGTTCTCTCCCGTTTTTACAGGCTTGCCACAACCAAAATGATGCATTTATTTTCTAAACAGTGGCAGTTTATACATGTGTCACCAACTAATTGATTAATTGGCTTATTGCAGCTCTAGTTGCTACATTTCTTGAGGCTGCTCATTCTACTAGTAATGTAATCAAGCAATTAACATTTTAATTTGCTTAGTCAATCTTGGAAAATTCTGGCGCTTTGATATTTAATTAATGCTAATTACTGCTCCTGATAAATAAAACCCAAATTGTGTAAAGAAAATGAGAATTTATCTTAGACAAGACTCCTGCCTGTGCTTTTGTCATGTGAGTTAACGGGATTTACTCATTACTCATGCTGGAAACGTTAAGACGCACAGGTGAAATAACGCAGCCACTCACCTTCTCCGGGAGGGTAAACAGTAAAGGCAGAAGCAGGAGTGGAGTGAGCAGAAGAATCAGTTGTTTGTGGACGCACCACAGTTTCTTGGACACAGCTGATAGTTTCATTTCCAGAGGGAAGTATTGCTCCTTTTGGGGAAAGGGAGCTGCTGTCAGGTTGAGAGGCGTGTTGGGCAGCACATTGAAACTGAGTGGGGAGAAGATTAACTACACTCTTCGTGGCGCGTTAACTCCTCCTATGATGGTGTCAAATAGTTAAGCGGGATCTGTCGGCTTTCCTTCAGCTTTCCCTCCAGCAGGCTCCACAGAGGTGCAAATGGCATCTGAGCACACTGCTGCAGACCTTAGTTAATCTTTATCAGGTCACTGCTTTGGTCTGAGGTTCTTTTATACTCCTTTATTTCTCAGTGGAGCTAAAACATTAGCAGTAGAACCTCTTCATGGCCATACCCAGAACAACTGAAATAAAAGAAGAGAAAAGAAGAGTATTTTATTTATTTATGCAGTTTACCACACTCTTTTTTAAGTTATAGCACATACTTCTATCTTACAGTTTTTGCTTTACAATAAACATGCATTAATAAAGCCTTTTTGGGGGCCATCAGATCCAGAATCTGGATCAGATCTGGATGAAGTTTGGTCTAATGATAGGCATTGCCACCTTACATATGTGTGTCAAATGTCAAATGATTAGGATAACATTTGATGGACATATAATTTTTTAAAATTTTGCCCTGCCTTAAAGATAGGGATTTTTGTGATTTTTTTTTTTTTTTTCATTATTTTGGGTGACCGAGCTCCTCACCCTATCTCTAAGGGTGCGCCCGGCCACCCTGCGGAGAAAGCTCATTTCGGCCGCTTGTATCCGGGATCTTGCCCTTTCGGTCATGACCCAAAGTTCATGACCATAGGTGAGAGTCGGAACGTAGATTGACCAGTAAATCGAGAGCTTCGCCTTATAGCTCAGCTCCTTCTTCACCACGACAGATCGGTACATCGACCGCATTGCTGCAGAAGCTGCACCGATCCGCCTGTCAATCTCCCGTTCCATCCTTCCCTCACTCGTGAACAAGACCCCAAGATACTTGAACTCCTCCACTTGAGGCAGGAACTTAAGTGGCATCCAGGTTGTCACAGACGATGTCCTACTTGAAGTTCTTAGCTCAGTTAAAGCTCTTGGGAAAGCTAGAATAGTAGCTAGACACAGCTTCTAAGACTGAGTTTGTGCTAGTCCGCGCCTTAGCTAACGTGACTGGGCAGACTTTACCTGACAAAGTCGGCGTTCCTGGTGAAGTTGGTCCTTGGCCTGTTCATGTCCTCCCAGCAGCAACCATAGGTCCAGAAGACTTTCAAACAAAACTACTGTCATTTCTTGAGCAAGAGGGCAAAAGTATTGCTGATGCTTTACAATAAACATGCATTAATAAAGCCTTTTTGGGGCCATCAGATCCAGAATCTGGATCAGATCTGGATGAAGTTTGGTCTAATGATAGGCATTGCCACCTTACATATGTGTGTCAAATGTCAAATGATTTTTCATTATTTTTTAAGAAACCTGACTTTTGACCTTTTGCAGCTGAAGTCTAATCACTTCTAGGGCTGGTCCCCACAAATGTCTGTACCAAGTATGCTGATGATCCATCCAGCTGTTTGTCCATAACCCTGCTAACCACAGAGAACATAAACATAACCAAAATGCCTCCTTGGTGGAGGTAATAAAAATTGTAAAGTAATAATTATAATGATTTATGGAGAGAAGCTGAGGTTATGAATAACTGTAAAACATCAGATCAGATCAAATTCCTCAGTTATGGCAGAAACAACCCGCTATGATCTTTTCACCTGTGTCAAAAATGGTATGTTAATGGCAGGCCACATAGATAATGGGGCTGTGACTTCTAAGAAATCCACACTGCAGTTATGAAGTTATAGGAGGTAATAAAGCAGGTTTGGACAATAACTGCTGAATATTTTACAGCCTGCTAGTAAAAACCTCTATCCCCTTCATGCTGTTTGTTTTACTGGTTCTAAGCCTGTGATATTCTACCTGAATCTGTGTTATGTTTTACTAGTAACTAAAGATGAAGCTGGCAAAGCTAAACAGTTTGAAGAACTGTAGGCCTATAGCCTCAGCCAGTATTTGATCCAGAGTGCAGGAGAGAGCAGACTAGAACAGAACATCTTTACTACTGACATTTAGTTTGGCCTGAGGTGTAAACACACATCTATTTCTGCCTTAAAGGAAATATTAATCAAATATAAAAGGCAAAATTCCACAGTTTTGATAGGATTTATTGATGCTGTAAAGGTTTTGACCATATACTGTACTGTAAATCACGATAAAATATTGTAGTAAGAATCTTGGTTTTCTGGTGTGTGCATCAGATGATTCGAGTCAAACTCTGAACCTGCTCCTTTCCATGTGACAAGGTGGTATTTTTTCCCCTTTTCTTTTTAACAAATCTACGGACGATGTGCCTGCAGTTAAAAGCCTGTGAAACATGAGGTATGGTTGCTCTCATTATGTTATTTTTTCTAGTTCAACAGTTACTGAGGATTTGTTCACACTAGTGCCATATGGATAACACAAATTGTGACAACAAATAAGAACAATATTATGATTATTAAAAGTAAGGAAGATGGAAAAGTTGTATTTCATAATTTCTTTCTGTCTGGTGTTGCCTTTAAAGAGTACACTATCATCAGATTAAACATTATTGTCACTGTGGCTTATAGTGACAGGGAGGGGCCGATGCTAAAAGCTCAGAGAAGTTGCAGCTCAAGTCAGATGTTTTTAAATACAGTCCCTGTGTGTAGCTTAGAATCTGCAAACACTATTATTTTAATCTATAATGTAACTAACTATACTGCGCTCTCTGTCTAGGACGCTGATGCAGACGGGAACAGTGGCACAGGAAGACGAGGCTTGACCCACTAGCAGGGACCTGCCCTCACTAAGTGCAAATGGAAGTATAAGGATAAAATGCAGAGAAGGAGGGGAAGCAGAAGTATAGTTTTTTTTTAAGAAGTGTGGTTTTAGCAGGTTAAATAGTGTGAGGAAGGAAGAGGCCTAGTTCTGGTCAGGTCCCACTTCCGAACAAGTGGCCTATAGTGACAGAGTTGTAATGGCTAACTAAACTCAATGATATATAATATAATGTATTATAGTTGATTTGGGAGCAGGCTAAGTTGTGGTAACAGGGACAGAAAAGGTTCATATGAAAGCAGGCAGGCAAGGCAAAGAGTTCAGATGAGGACTGGAAACAAGGACAGGTTACTGACTGGGGGTATTTTAATAAACTCTGAAGTTAACCCTGACCTCTCATTTGACCATGAGTCCATTCAGTCAACTCTGAGTGTGTTCAGCCTGAGCTACAGTAAACACATGCACGCTAACTATAAAAAGTCATCACTGGCGCTCCGATACTACAGTTCACCATGGCAACAGGTAAATAAATAAGTGATAGGATTAAAATAAGTTTCCATTTTAATCCAGTGAAGCTACAAATA